ACTTACCCTATGGTGATCCGTAATCGGCGGTGAGTTACAAATACGTAACCAAACCAAAATGCTAGTTCAGACAGGCCGTCTGTGACTGGTCTCAAACAGTTGTCCTCTGGACTCTGCGGTCACGCAACACATACTTTTTCTGTTTCAGGTACCCCAAGAAAAAATCAACTTCCATGGTGTGGGTAGCCGTGGAGCAACAACCGCCCATACACTTCCAAGAGCACACAGATCCCTCCTAATCATTATCTTCTTTTATCCCCGCCACCCTCATCATCTTGTTTCCCTTCTACTGTCAGTGCTGTCCTGCAGGCTAATCAGTCATCTTCATTTCATTCTGTTACCAAAAATAACGATGAGAGCCAGAAAAACACCCCTGATAGCGTCTTAAAGCCACGCCACCAACTTCATATTGAAGGATGTAACGTCGGGACCCTCTGCCGAATCCGACAACAGGCATCACTAGCCAGAACTCTGGCATGTTGTGCCATGGATGTATGTTGTTTCGGAGACACGCATAAAAGACCCAAGTGTGGTTATTCACTTAACCTCACGCGGCCAACAAGGTGAATCTGCGAAATTCACCATAAGGGATAACATCGAGTGTTAGGCCAGAAAAACCACTTCTTGACTGGATCCCAGTAGATAATCGTATCTGTGTGGTCTATCTGAATGGATCCGTTAGAAGAAGGAAGGACAGTGTTACCTGTCACTGCCTCTTCATAGTCTCCGCTTGCGCCCCAACTGACTGCATTTCGGATGAACTAAATGATTTCTACCAGAAACTGTCTAGTTTGCTGTGGAAAGCAAATGGCTCAGATATAGTTGTTTTAGCAGGAGGCTTCAATACCTAAGTAGGAAAGTTATGCCGGACGGAGAAGTATATAGGTGGTACGTCCAGAGTTCCCTGTCGACGAACCCACAGTGGTGATCGTCTTCTACAGTTCTGTTCAGATAATCATCTGTTTCTAGCCAGCACTAACTTTAGGCACAAAGAGAGACATTGTTTAACCTGCCGACCTCCTCCACCAAGTCAACACTGGACTCAAATAGACCACATAGCGAAGGTAATCGTTGGCGAGGGTTAGTAGAAGACTGCCACTCCTTCTGGGATACTTGCGTAGACTCCGATCATGCGCTGGTTCGCGCACGTTTATGCTTACGAATAAACAGAAATAAATTTTTACTACCTCATCCGAACTGATGGACTCGAGAAGAAGTCCTCTGTCCCTAACTGATGTTACAAACGCTGTCGCTAATCGGAAGCAATGCAAAGCAGCGGGACCTGATGGAATGACTCCAGAGGTGTTTAAGGACGGTGTAGACAGTTTTCTGTCTGTGTTAACTAATGTATTAGTCAGCGCCTTGGAATCAAAGATAATCCTGTCGGTTTGACGCGTCATTGATTATTCCGATATACAAGAAGGGAGACAAGTCTTCCTGTGATAATCACAGGGGGATTATCTTCACTTATATGGTTCTAGGCTCAATAATCATGCGAAGACTAAATGGCGCTCGGGAGAAATAAACACAAGAGAACCAGGCAAGCTTTAGACCAGAAAGAGGGTAGATTGATCATATCTTCACCCTTCGACACATTTTGGAACATACTTACCGGCGTCCAAAAATCGTCAAATTTCTTGACCTAAAAGCGACATTTGATTCTTTCAACCGAGAGGCACTATGGCGATGTCTGGCTGTGAAGGGAATGCCGACAAAATACATCGCACCAAGGCGCTTTACTCGAACCCATGCATTCAGGTAAGAACCTACCGAGAGTTGTCACCTGAAGTGGTGACAACCAGTAGTGTCTGTCTGTCCCCATTTCTGTTTAATTTCATCACAGATGTTCTAGTGGGTGTAACCCTAACTGACTTCATCGACTCAGGGATTCACCTGTTACCGTCAGGGAATAACCTCGTTAACTTGGAATATGCAAATGAAGGTGAAGACGCTGACAAAATGCAAAGTCTTCTGAACACATTGAGCTGAGCAGCGTTCTGCGAATGTTTGGCATGAGATTCTCTCTTGTCAAATGTTAGATGATGTTACGGGATTGGACTACATTGAATCCTAGTTTAAAAATAGGAAGTAAAGTGGTAGAGCACGTTGACCGCTTCACTTATTTGGAGAGTTGCATCAGCCGGTGCTAGCGGGTTGATCGCTGACGAAGTCTCAGCACGGATACAAAAGGCTCCTTCCGCATATGCCAGTTTACGCCATCTCTGGAGTAGACGTGATATCTGGCGTCCGCACTTCTGAGCAGTCCGCTCTGTCCTCCTTTATGGCTGTGAGACATGTCCATTGAAAGTGTAAGATATGAAAATGCTGGTTAGCGGTCTTTGTTCATGTGTGCCTGCGTTCTATCTCCCATGTTAAGTGGTATAATAAGGTGAGCAATATTGAGGTCAGGCGTCGGTCGAGTGCTAGGTAAGGAGGGGTAAATCAATCGACGAGGTTGTGAAGTTACATTAATTGAGATAGTAAGGACATGTGTTACGTATGCCTAGTTATCGCCTTCGTCGACGATCTATGTTAGCTGACATAAGATCAGAATGGGAAAGAGCTACTAGTGGTAAAACCAAAGCATTCCATCAGTACACTAAATCTTGGACAGTTAGTTTGAGCCACGTAGGGAAGTGTAGACCGCTTCTTTGGGGTCTTTAGGATCTTAAGAAGCAGTGACTAGATACTTCCTTGTTAGGGTCCTCTGGATAGTAAGAACTAATGACTGGAGACAATTGGTAGTGATATAGCTCAAAATCGTTCTCAATGGCGCAGATGTATCCACTCCTTGTGACTTATAATGCCCATTAGAGCTGTATTGTCCTTCGATATTACTATTCTTTTTGCCTCATGTCTCTGTTTTGAATCTCTGTTGTTTACTCTCTTCTCTTGCTTTGTGTGCTACATGGAGGGAATGTGGCAATTTAAACTGCTGCACGCCTGTGCAAAGTTCTATGTTGTAACCAGTCAGTCAATCTACTAAAAAGTTATGGTTGTGTATTCGTTAGAATCGTCAATAGAATATGGGGAGCACAAGAGCATAAAATTGTTGTGAACGATAGAAAAGACGAAACTATATCTTCCTAGTAAGGCGAAATGAATCTGTTAAAATAATGAATTTTTTTACTAAGAAACATGAGAGCTATTAAAAAGTTTAAGTGAGATAATGTCATTTGGTTGACGGCGGCTAGCAGTGGAATCCAGCATGTGCATTTCTTCCTATATGGGACTCGTCATCTGAGTGTAGAACAAAATTTGCATCCTAGATTCCATTGCCAGCTATCATCAATCAAATTATATCGTGTTAACTCTCAGACGTTTTCGAGGCGTCTTTACCGACAATCGACAGAGACTGAACGTTTCGGTGCAGTATAAGTCGATCAGCGAGAGATATAAAAGAATTTAGAAAAACAACCAATGAAATGACACTATAAACCATTCGAATTATCATGCTTCCGTTTTATATACTATGCCGTTATTTTATTTATAATGCGAACCATATTTTATCTATTCATTGATTCCGCTGGATGGTTGCTACTTCGTAATTTTATCTATGAAACATATAACTCCTGAAGGATTGATATTTGCTGCTTCTGCTGTTCAGTATTGGTGATATGGTACTTTCTTTACATACTTTACTCAGCATTTATAAAATGCCTTGACTTAAACATTCAAAACCCCTGTCATACTTACATTTTGAAGTTACTGTGTCCTTAATGTACTGCAAAACGTCTTTTGTGGTAGTATTTCGTAGCATTCAGGTAGTGTATTAAGTACTTTCATAGCATGTCAAGTGATTCACAACGGAAAACTCAGCAAGGCGTTTGGAGTAAACACAGGAGTCAGACAAGGGTGCTTATTATCACCAATGATATTCCTAATTGTGGTGGACTGGATTATGCGTCAGACTGTGAGTGAGAAACGAGAAGACAGGGATATCCTGGACCGACCGACGTGAAGAACCTAGAAGACCTGGATTTCGCGGGTGGATGATTTATGTTTGATATCACACAAAATCGAAGAATTACAAGCGAAGACCAACAAATCGGTCGAAGAAGCAGCCGGCGAAGACAGGACTCCAAGTGTACATAGACAAGACGGAAGTTATGGAAATAACCAACCAACCAACGACAACAGCAGCAACATCCAGCGCGAATCACCATCAACGGGAGGGATTCGAAAGAGGTTACTTCATTCACTTATCTAGGGAGCGTTGTCTCAACTACGGGAAGTCAGAACGGACGAGGATATCAAATCGAGCGAGGATCAGGAAGGCGAGAAACGCATTCATCAACCTGAAACCGATCTGGAAATCTTCGTCACTCAGCCAGCATCAACAACAAAATTCCGTCGGATTTTCAATACAAACACGCCAAGTCAGTCAGTTCTTCTATACAGATCAGAAACTTGGCGAGCGGGCGGGTCACAAAGAATATTTCCAACAGCCTGTTGTAGACCTTTATCAACAGCTAACTGTCTTCGCTCTATATTGAAGATCAGATGGCCGGGTCGGAAAGAATCACCAACAAGAAACTCTGGCTGGGAACAAACAAAACAAGAACAAACCAATCGCCCAACAAATATGCAGGAGAAAGTGGAGATGGATTGGACACTCTATGAGGAGGCCGCTGGGTGACATGGAGCGCGCGTCAGGCCATTGCTCGAGTGGAACCCGAAAGGGAAGCGGCGAGTGGGACGTCCGAAGGTGACATGGAGGAGATGGTGTGGATAGGAGTTGAAACAGTATGGAGTAACATGGATGCAGGTGAAAAGTACAGCAGAAGGAAGATAGAAGCAAGTGGTGACGTGCAGTTGAAGCCCTATGTTCCACTAGGAACCCAAGGGAACATTAATAATAATAATAATAATAATAGCAGGTAAATTTCATTTGAAAATGTTTATACATTTAAGGTAATTCTTTGTAAACTGGTTTATTATAATTTTTTCTATTGTTTCTATTTCTATTGTTTAGCAAATAAGTGGATAAACTTCATATCATGGAGAAACGTGAGGGTGTTAGGCGTCCTTTAGATGATGCAGCTAAAGAAAGAAGACAGAAGAAAACACTAAGCTTGTTAGAACAAGATAATCATATTGAAGAGCCACAAACCGATGTAAAAGCAACTAAAAAGCCTCAATTCGGAGATGAGGTTTGTTACTCTGTTTCTTGTCAAGTTACTGATTTTCTTTTTTTGACCTATAGGATGATGACATTTCAGCGAAGCGGCGTAAAAAAAAGCGTATATCAAATATACGTTCGCGTTGTAGGAAAACATTTGAAATTTTACTCGATGAAGAATACCAAGCAACAAAAGGAGGAGCTACGGGTGCTTGTTATTTTACTGCTGCTGCCCCTGCTACAAAACTGCCTATCCGAAAGTTTTGTAATGTCTGTGGTTTTAAAGGATTGTATAATTGTATGATATGTAGTTTACCATATTGTAGCAGAAAGTGTTTTGAAATACACTCAGATACGCGGTGTATGAAATGGGTTGCCTAAACCTACTATATATATATATATATATATATATATATTATGACCGCTGTAAGTGGTAATTGTACATATCTTTTTGAACTTCTGAACTTATAATTCCTTCAAGATATTCACTACTTTTGTACACCTCTGCTGCATTCCTTACTTTTAAATTGTATATTTATTTCACTTGCAAAGTCCTTTAAGTATAAAGTTGTGTGTTTGGCAATTGTGCAGTTTTACTATTCATTTTTTCTGTATATTCTTTATCCTTCAAATAATATTTCTTATTTACAAATTTCTCATTCACTCATGAAACAGTTTAAACAAGAATTGTTATGTCGGGACCCTAAAGGCGGGTAATCAAAGAGGACAGTGTTGTTCGCTGTTGTTAGCAGAGTAAGAAAAAGGTAGGAGTCGAAGTTAAGTTGTAACAACAGAAGACAAGGGCCTGGCAACAGGTCGTTTATTAAGGAAATCAACACGTATTTATAGACTTTCATGTACATATTATAGATTATTATTAGCAGAAAAACACAGTCTTCTGATTGGTTGTTTCTCACAGAAAGTTGACCTTGCATCTCTTTGTGACTGTTTCTTGAATGTCAGATCATCTATATGTTAACTGTATCTGCCTACGCAAAGTCTGCTGTGATTAGTTGTTGAATCAGTCTTGTGCGTATTTTCTCACAACCAATATTTGGGTCACACACATTTAATTAATTTTTTTTATTTTTGATTACAGCTTGATTCCACACTGTATTTTTGGTACAAGTATGGAATTTTCAGCATGGATATCGGTAGCCCAAATTTTGCAGGCCGATCATAGATATCAGGTGTGCGTCGATAGGGGATCGAGCCTCGTACCATGTGCATGGTCGGTGAGACTCCTAACCACTGCGCCACCGACTACCAATTTGGCTACCAGCCTGCTCTCACCACAAAGTAACTGCATTCCGTTATCTGCACGGAGTGTAAATCAAAACTCTTGTGTAATAATGAATTATTCAAACACCGAAATATTATACAGCAATGAAGGTTTCTAAAGGTGCAGTGTATACATTCCTGGCAATATATTTTTAAAGTTACATATAAATGTAACCAACAATACTAGCGAGTCAGGTACCAAGCGTTCAGATTAATACATAAGTCAACATTATGCCTGTGAGTGGAATAAAAGGAAGATCTTGCATTTTAATGCAATCCTATTTCTAGTCTTTGATAGAATGTCTGTTTTCAGTTGATCAACTAAACTGTCATGAAACAACACTTAAAGGTTTGTACTATCTGAGCTTATTGACATTGTTCACTTATAGGTGTGTAAAGAATACTAGACGGGACTTACTTTCATGACTTATTTACAAATAAATGTGAAGAAGAATAAGCTTTAAATGTCAGCGAGCACGAGTAGATACCGAATCCTGCATGATATCGCACAATATGATCAAGTAAACATTCTTAAATCGAAAATTTTGAATTGTTGCATTTTATCCAGTTCTTATATCAATTATTCAAAACGTCCTATTGTCGGTAAGGCTGAAATCACGAAGTGTTGCGGGGCTGTGAAATTAAACGTATATTAAGAAAAAACGACTAGAAACCAGGAGGCATTGAAAAGCTGTTTCTTCCCATGAACCTACTGGGCATCGGATGTAGGACCTTAAGGTTCTCATTGGTTTTCTAACTGAAGTCACTTTTCTAATAGAACTAGAAACCAATCATATCCCTACAAACCAATAACTCGAAAAAAATGAAATAATGTCTAAAAATTTCGACATCATCTTGATATTGTTCTGCATCGAGAACGTCATACAACACGTAATTCTATGCCATTATAGTGTGTCACATGAAATGAATAAATAAGCTGAACTTCTACTCAGCAATGTCTAAGCCTTATGACTATGCTACAGTGACCAAGAACTGTAAATTAAGTACTGGAGTGAAGTGATAGAACATGTTGACCACTTCACCTACTTGGAAGTTGTATTAGCACAACGGACTGATTGGCGATGAAATCTCAGCACGGATCCGAAAGCTCGAGCTGCTTTCGCTGACTTACACCATCTCTGGCGTAGGCGTGACATCCGGTTATCAACCAAGGGACGTGTGTACTGCTCATCAGTTCGCTCCGTCCTTCTCTATGGCTCTGAAACATGGCCAATACGCGTTGAAGACATGAAAAGGTTGACTGCTTTCGATCATAGATGTCTGCGATCTCTGTCTCACGTTAGGTGGTTTCACAAGATAAGTAATGTTGACGTTAGGCGTAGAGTGTTAGGCAAAGAGGGAAAATCAATCGACGAGGTTATAAAGTTACATAGACTAAGATGGCTAGGTCACGTGGTGCGCATGCCTAACCACCGCCTCCCCCGACGGGCATTGTTAGCTGATATAGGTTCAGGTTGGAAAAGAGCCAGTGGTGGCCAAACAAAAACATGGCATCAATCCATGAAATCCTTGACAGTTAAACTGAGTCAGGTAGGGAGATGCAGACTCCCGGGTTGGGGCCCTCGGGACTCTAGGAATCAATGGCTGGAGACAATAGGTGACATGGCTCAAAATCGTTGTCAATGGCGCACATGTATTCAATCTCTGTAATCTTTCATATTCCTTTCTACCATTACCCATTCTGTTTCACTCCTATATTTGTCAAACTCTATTAATTCTCTCCACTCATCTTCTTGTCTACCTCTGTGTGCTATTTGGAACGTGGCAACTCGAACTGCTGCACTTCGGTGCCAAGTTCTATGTTGAATCCAGACAGACAGACCTGTTGTTGATAGTCACTCCATTTGCTAAAGAATATTTTATTGGAAATTTAAGCGTTTCTATGCTCTCTAGTTCTCCATCCGACTTCAACTTCTTAAGAAGTCTAGGAGAAAACAGAAAAATTGAGCAAAGAATATCCTTTTTGACAATTTCCTCTCCTGGCTGTACAATCATATATATGTTTATATACATAGATTGTTCTAGAATAGTATTCAATAACAATATTGTTGTTTTTTAAATACTGTCGATTTGTTAAGTAAGATCAATGGAATTACAGTTCACGAAAGATGCATAAATTATAACGATAATAAAAATACAATAACAAATAGAATATCACATAAAATTAAGGAAATTTCTACGAAAAACTGAGGACTATTGGAACCTAGATGGCCAAGGTAAGGACAATGTCTGAACCAACTTGTTTTAGACACACAAGTTAGGCTTCTTAGTGTGGTTCCCAACGGCCTCAGCAATATGTTGTAGATGAACTCTTAAAGCGAAGTTAAGATTTGCTGGTATGCGGTAAATGACTGTGAAAGCCTCTTTAACGTCAATCTTGTGTTGTGTATCCATAAGATGAGATAGAATAGCGCTGTGAATGAATTTCGTTTGTACCTTACTTATCCACGCAGGGTGATGTTCAGAAATCCGACGAGAAACGCCTAATTGTTTGGCTTAGGTAACTGGCTCCACAGGAGCAGTTAAATTGGTAGATACACATAGAAGAGGCGAAATTAGTCAGTTCATCTTTTACTCCTGAACGCAAGAGAGCAGTGGTTTTGAAGATACAGCGTAATTCAGCAGCATGAAATGATCTTCTTACCGCATTCCTAAGGCATTGTGTTAACATCTCGCTGGTATTATCCCCGAGGAACTGAATTTGTAAGAATAAGGCCTTTTTCGGAACTATTGGTATCTTGGGCTGCCTTGATTTTTGATTCATATTCTTATCAATGAATTTTTCTGGATAACCGTTTTCACTCAGCAACTGTTTAATAGTATTAAGTTCTTCATCAAGACATATATCAGAGCAGATTGCTCTTGCTCTGTTGACCAAGCACTTTGTCAGTTTGCATTTGTATTTCAAGGACACGAAGCTGAAAAAATGAGTATACTGACCAGTTGGTGCAGGTTTTCTATACACATATCTTATTGTGCCATCCTCTTTTCTGGTCATAAGGACATCTAGAAATGAAATATTAGAGTCTTTTTTTTCTCAATGGTAAGATTTATTGCAGGGTGAACATCGTTAAATTTGTCCAGGATGTTCTTTGCTTCATCCTCATTTTTCATAATCAAAAATGTATCATCCATGTACCGAAAACAGAATTCAAGTTCATCAATTACGTCTTTCAAAGGACCATTCTCTAGTTTCGCAAGAAAAATGTTGGCTAGAATGGGTCATAGTGGTGACCCCATTGCCACATCATCGATTTGTCTGTATAGTTCCTTATTAAATAAAAAGTGAACATCGATGTTTCGTCGAATGAGTTCTTCACATATGAAGTCTACTGTTTCCGTAAGTGGTGCATTGGTGAACAAGGAAGATAAGTCGAATGATATCATGAATTTATTGTCAACATTTAAATCTTTTATCCTTTCAACAAATCCAAAAGTATCCTTTACGCTGTATTTCACCAATTTTGTATGTAGAGGCTGCGAGGTGGTATGGTGAGTTTAACATATCTAATACTGGTCGAAGTGGTACACCACTTTTGTGCACGTTAGGTGAATCATATAATCTTGGTGTGAACGTTCCAGTGATGTGTACTGAGTATTTATGAGATAAAGCCTTGTTGTTTCAGTCTTTTCAATGTTTCCGCTAACTGTTTCTCTATCTTTTCAATCGGTTCCAGAGATGACATTTTTCGGAATTTTAGATTGTCATTAAGAATAGTATTCATCTTCTCGAAGTAATCCGCTTTGCTCATAATAACCATTCTGAACCCTTATCAAGTCTTGTTATTACTATATTATTACTTTTTCGGAGAATATCTAGGAGATTTTAATGTGATCACATAGTTATGCGACATGAAAGTTGGTTAGTGATCATCAATAGGCAATAGGTTGATTTTCTGTCAATCTTTGGTTTTTTTTACCGCTACAATCTTCATTGGTAAGGTGTATCAACAGTTTAACAGAGGGATAATGTCTACACAAATCACTACAGAGAAAAGTTACACTAGGCAGTTTGACATATACTGCACACTAGACTGTATGATGCGATGGGTTTATTGGTTTCATGACTGGAAAATAAC